AAAAATCAATGCTAATTATATACTAATTTATTTCTAAATAAAAATAATTAAATTATTTGCTAAAATAAACTATAAATGATTAAGGAAAAACTTAATTTGTATAAAATGAAGGAGATGACCGAAATATAGTGAAGAGGAGAAATTGGAGCAGTTAAATGATGAATGAAGTGTGAATTGCAGTGAATTTTATAGAGCAGATTTGCCAAATCTGCTCGACTAAAAGGCGATCCGAGCCAACTATACTAATCAATAGGAGCTTGTACAAATTAAATTTGCCAAATCTGTCTAACTATAATATTTATTTTTTTGGACAGATTTCCCAAATCCGCTCAATCGAATGCTGATCTGCACCCTTAAACGGACATTCCAAGATGGCGATCCATGACCATAATTATTGATCAATAGGAGCTTAGACATATTTGTTAAACTATATATTTATTTATACTCGACAGATTTGCCAATCCGCAAAATCATATGTCGACTGCGCCCTTAAAGTGGGATTCCAAAATGGCGATCCAAGACCACAATTATTGACCAAGAGGAGTATAGACGGATTCACCAAATCTGTCAAACTACATATTTTTTGTAAACATTAGACGGATTCGCCGAATTTGTTTTACCTTTTTAGATAATAATCCAGACAGTATTGCACTGTTTGGAAACACCTGCACAAAAGGCGCTTTATGATTTACTCCAAACATAAGTAGCATAAATTTTGTTGTGGCATTTGTGGTAACCAAGTACAGTCATGTAGACTGATGATGCGGAAGTACGAAAGTGTGTCATCTTCATTGCGATCAATCTGTAATCATGTTCCTTCTCTTCTTGAAAAAATGGTACTCGTTTTGTTGTCACATCATACTAACCTGCCAATCCGTGGAAAGTTGGGTGAATTTCTCATACATTGTATTGACAAAGCCGACAATTGAAATCTTAGAACAATTATTGAACATGTAATTCAAACATCTAGAGAGATTTTTTACGTTAAAATTTCTTAACTATATCTACTATCCTAACATATCTTCCATATTTGTTTCGGAATGACATCCAAATATCTGAATGTTTTCTGATACATAGCTAATATCAGGATACTACTAGCGGTAGATAGAGAAAAAGCAAAGCTATTAAATAGGAGAGAGAGTGCATTCATGTAAGGGAATGCTAAACAAAGGCGGAAAGCACTGATGTGGCATAGATGTGGGCACGTGATGCAGTATTAAATGCAGTGGTTGAGTGCTGCGAAAGCGCCGATTCTTTGAGTGCTTTACTCTAGATCGGGATCGAGGGCTTTACTCTAGGGGCTGAAGGGATAACTTTGTGGACTCACACTGAGACGGAAATGTTGTAGTCCGCATGCATGAAGTGGCCCTTCTATGCGAAGGCGTTTGTTCGAAGCCCTCGAGCTTGGTCTTGAGGTGTCTCCAGTTGTCTCTTTGGGTCCGCTCGAGGTGATTGAGGCTGTTGAGGTGGCAAAGTACGTGGACCGGGGGGTCCTGGGTCATATAATCCATCACTTTCTAACTCATTAACTATGTTTTTTAGAAACTCATTATTGTTGTGGGTACTTCATGTTGCCAAATGATGTTGTCCTAGGCCATATACTCCATTTCTTATTATTTTGAAGGTACAGAAGACTCTTCCGGGAAGAGAGAGAGTTGAGAGTGTCTCTCACTAGGCTTCCTCTAGGTCCCCCCCCCCCCCCCCCCGGATCATCGGCGCCGCCACTCTCACGGTGGGCCACCACCAGAGCTGCCATGGCTCCGTTTGATTTCTTGGGTTTCAACTAGATGTTTGGAACGAGACTCCACTAATGTGGACTCGATGGTTCATTGGTTCTCTTGGTTCTTTCCTTGGTCGGTTGCAGCTTAACTTCTCTATGGAATGGTTGACTGTCAAAGGTCCACCGGAAATGTGGGTCTCCTTAAACCGCGGTCAGTAGCCCTGGGTGTTACCTTGAGGGGAGGACTGCAATGGTGGTGAACGAGTGACAGCTATATACCTGTGTTCGATGATGTAGCGGATGGAAATTGACCACCTTCCGGTGAGATGTGCGACTCTAGCCAGGAAATTGTTAACGGTAAGTACAACCTCTGTCCCCTTGGCTCACTCCCTCTCCTTTTCTTGATCTAGCCAAGCCTGTGGTCGCTCTGGCAACCTAAATAGTGTGGTAATCCATGCCCCTTGGCCACCACCTGTTGTTGGCCTTCTCTGTCGTCTCACGAGGGGAAATAGACATTTGATCGGAGTTTCTTTCTGGTACCACCCTCCCTTTCTTATTCTTAGGCTAGTAGCGCTGGTGTGCCTACTGCTTCGCGCAGTCATCGGTTTGAGGTTTTGGAGTTGGAGAGATCGAGGGATGGCTTGCATTGGAGCCCTACGAACTGGTTTGCGTCCCGTCCTTTTGCCACCCACACTCTTCCAGGAAGAAGGTATTTGGCGTCCGCAGTAGATGGTTGTAATGGTCGGGCGCTGGGTTGGAATGGTTGTAGCGGGATTCTACAGGTGTGGGGTGCTGCTCAAGAAGCCCATAGCTGCACGGGAGGGGTCTTCGGCCTCACGGGGTGGGGGGGGGGACTGCTTACCATAGTTTGGGTTTAATTTGGATTTAGTACTTCGTCGAGGATTCATTGGTTTGGATTTTTCGTTGTTCGTGGTGCTCATCACTTTTTTTGCTACTATTAATCGCTACTCATAGCCTTCTGCCAACACTGCTGGGGGCCATCGGGGCTCGAAGGGGTTGGAGGTGGTAGGTGGATCTACTATTAGCAAGGTTTCTCTCCCGCTGGGTCATGGCCTCTTCTCCCACCACCGGACTGTTTGGGGATGCCAGAACCCAGATGGGGTGGTGGGGGTGGGGGGGTGGGGGTGAGGGTGGTGGGTCCGGGTATTTTGTTTTTTCGCATCCCCTTTGCGATGGATGGGTTTGAGGCTGACCCAGTTTGTGACTAACCCTACCCGCGTGGGGGGTTATGGACTTGGGCTGAGCCTTCTTGCCTAGACTGCTGCGGATACCTCGGGAATGCAGGGCCTTCTTTCCTTGGTTACTTTCTTTGCTCCTTGGGTTCGATGGGAAGCTCACTTATCGGGGTAGCAGTTTGACTGAAGCACGTATGGGTCTCCAAGCGAAGTGTGGGTTGAGTTGTTGGTTTGGTGGGCTACAAACTATATCATGGGGTTGTGGAGCTGATTGATGGGTATTTTGGACACTGTTGGGCAGTTTACTAGGCCGTTAGAGCTGATCCTTTCAGAGGATGAGACTTCACTGTTTCAGAATCTTTGGACGTTCACTGTAATGTTCTCTTCCCCCATTTACCTCCTCCTGGGGGAGGGGGGGTTGAGTGGTTTGATAATATTTAGCTAGTTTTTGCTAGCTTTTTAGTTTTGATACATTGTACTGTTTTATTTTTGGGTATGATTAATATACTTACCTTTCATCCCAAAAAAAATTGAAAGTATGGAAGACATTTCACCTTTTGAATCTCAACGGTGCATCCCATAAAGCAAAATCAATGATGTTATGTCAATAGAAGATGATGCACACATCCTGATGTGGTTCGATGCGTACAATACTCACTTGCAACAACACAATATGTAAAAAGGTAGATTTAAGGGGAAAATGTCATATAAACTCTTGTACTCCAAAAAAGTAAACTAAGTTCTTATACTTCAAGTTCAAACAATTGAACTCTCTAATTATAAAAAATGTTCAATTAGTCACTTTAGCCGGTCATGAATAAGTTTACCCGTTAGTTTCATCCATAGTTATCCACATGGCGACCCACTTATGGACAAAATCACGAAACATGATTCATTCACAAACATGATGGATCAGGATCGTTCAAGTCGAAAAGCACAACATGATGTAAATTATACACCATGCATGTAAAAGCATTAGAAATTTACTGTTCATCCCAAGAAAATCAATAGTCAGATCACCGAAATCGGATAAAGTAAATAAAAACTAATATTCATAAGTATGAATAGCCAAATCTTATTAATTAAGTAAAACAGTAAAAGAAAATTTGATTATATATAGAGTGATGCATTGATAATCACCTTGTCCTTTTAATAACTCAAAAAATCAATCATAAATAATAGCACAAATATCAGTCTCCCAAATCACCACTAGTTCAAATCTAAATGAACTAATTTATCTTAATATTTCATTTACAATAGATATATAAACAAGTTAAGGTTTTTTGCAAATACATTACTTTTTTAACCTATCCAAATATAATAGTTATCACTATAAAATATGGATAAAAACATGACTAATATTATTACAAATATATAGTAAAATGTCAGGTGTACCCTATTTTGTGTACCCAATTCGCACCCTTGTCTGTCTACGCAAATAGAATTGTCTGATAACTTTGCTCGAAACTACAGAGCAGTCTACATACAGACAATTTTATTTGTGTGGACAGACAGTGTGTATGAATGAGATACACAAAATGGGATAACTCTAGCATTTCTCAAATGTATAATATATATATATATATGTTCATGGTCATTATGGCATATAAATTGTACGTAGTACATGATTTTCGTTGTTAAAGTCACAGTCACAAGAATTATTTCTAAATAATATTGGTATATTACATTCATTTTAGATTTGTAGACCGTCAGTGAGCTCGACTTTTCAGTCCGAGTATGTTTGGGTGAAATCCCAGAAGCATTTTTGGAGCTCTAATTTACTCTCAGAATCAGTTTTTTTAGAAGTTGGAAGGTACCAACTTCTGAAAACTGATTCTGATTCTGCTTCTGATTTTAAAAAAGGAGCAGAAGCAATTCCAAATACCCTAAAAAGAAAAGACAAACTGAATCCGTCAAACGTTAATATCAGGCCGGTCTAGGTCCGGTTTGGGTAAATCCTTTCGGGTTTTCCCACCTAACCGTAAATAAGAAAGAAACTACCGCATTCGGATTTCCGGACGTAACAGAAAAAGAAGCAACGAATTACGGAATAGAAAAATGACCGGCTGGCCGGCCGGACTGACCTGGACGTCGAATTCAACGAAATCGAGACCAAGTTTTCCGGCGTTGAGGAAAGAACGGATTGTATTCTCCCTGATAGCCTTCATTCTCCGATCAGATAACTCCAGCATATTCATCCCATTTCCTCTGTGACCCATCACCACAAACCTCTTCTCCTTCTCCTTCCACATCTTCACGCCTCTTCTCCCCTCGCCATTTCCATTTTCTCCACCGCCTGATAATAAGATCCAAATTAAGCCAATAATGCAAGAAAAATAACCAATTAAATCCAACAGATCTGCAAAGATGTATATATTTCCAGAAAATACAGACCGACCTTGGGCAGAAGTGGGGAGGCAGAACTTAGCTCTGTCATTTTCTGGTACATTATCAAGAAGATGCATTTCTGAAACAGGGACAGCCCTTACAGCCATTTTTATGCTTCTTGCAAGGAATCGTAAGAAATTAAAACACCATCCAAGAAAAATCGATCATCAGGAAGTTATTTTATAAATATACGTCATTCATATATACCGCATATAGAAAGAATCAGGAGGATAATACTATTATTAGGATATATAATAATCATTCTGGATCCATCCTGGAAAAAGGATTGGAGCTTAAAAGAAAAAAAGGAATAATAAATGTCGGATGCAAATTGCAGAAGGAAGATAAAGATTGAACCTTGGTCGATCCCATGACGTGGATACAGCTAATCCTCTGTCTGAAAATTTATCTGCTCTGGATTTTTCTTTCAAGTTCTTCACGTATGCAGGAAGGTGAAAGATGTACGGTTGTGTCATCAATTACGCCAGAAATGCAAGTTCGGACAGAGGGTTCCACTTCATGCCGTGTCATTAATTTTTTTAATCACATATTCGTTGAACGGTTGGGTAATTATGAGCGGGTTTCGTAAGCCGTGTTTGGGGCTTAATTATGATATTTATGAATTTATGTTTTACTAGGTGATTTTTTTTTTGAAAGAAGTTTTACAGGATGTTTAAATTTTGATTTCATGGCTGAATAATGTGGCTGAATAATGTAATGATAAAAAGTAAGATCGAAGTAAATTAGTTGAATTTGATGTGAAAGAATACTTTAGTTTTTTTAATACAAGTAAAATATATTGATGGTATCATGGACTTGGACCATGACCCAATTACGTGATCCAGCCCTTAAGAGCATCTCCAATGCAAGGGTGTGGTCTCTTACACACCCTTACACATGGGTCCCATTTTTTATCTCACAAATTTTATGTGTAGGACCCACATATTTCTCAATTTATTTTCATTTTCATTTTTTTATATCACTTTTAACCCACTTTTCATCAACTTTTCCTCCTCGAATCCCGTGTAAGGTCCATATATGGACCTTGTCATAGACCTTGGTCCATTTTTACCTCTATCTCTCTCCTCTTTTTCATTTTTCCCTACACACCACTTCATCCCAATATTTATTCTATCTCTATCTCTCTCCTATGCCACATCACATGCAATGCACCCTCCCATTGGAGATGCTCTAACGGGATCAGCCTAATTGATAGGATTAGCCAATAACGGGATCAAGCCCTAAACGGGATTAAGATAATGAGCCGCTGGGCCTAAATAGGAATTGGGCCCACAATAAGAACCCACAACTAGGCCAGGCTGGACAGCAGACCTCGAACCTAGGCGGTGTTCTAGTGAGGTTGGGATATTCATAGGGCATGTGGCAGGCTGTCGGATGAGTATAGCTATTTGGCAGTAAGCAAGACTCAACGGGAAAACGTGGACTTAAAGGGACAGTCATTGCACAACGTCCAAGACGTTACAGGAGACATATTCGACGAGAATATGTAATTAATAGCATTTATTGTATCAGTTTCCTCCTGAAATAAATATTTCCTGTACTATGCATTCCCTACCAGGGAGTTCGATCGGTCAATTGGTTCTCCTGAATAATAATACACTGCCTTACACTGCCCATATTGTTCATATCTTTCATATCTCTCGTAGTTGGATTAAACTCTTACATGTAAGGTGCATTATTAATAGGAAAAATAAGTTTTTTTTATAAATCCGTACGTACAATTTTTGTGTAATTTTCATCATAAATCATTTGGAAATATTCTCTTAATGCTATAGTGCATGTGTAAAGTTGTGCACATCTCAATATGTGACTTCCTTACCCCATCCCTTATTCGATTTAGACGAGTGTTTGTGAAATGTTGTTTTACTGTTGTGATCGATGTTGTTAGATATTCAATTTGACAATTTTTTTTAAACACTTTTAGAAGCCATTTGGCAACACAGTTTTTCGGTTTATCAGGCTTATCAGCCAGCTTTTTCACCAAACACGTAACTTTTGCTTTCGTGTACTGAATTGTGTAATAAGCAAAAAAAGTAAGGTTGGAGTTACTTTTCTGGCTGTATTGGCTGAAGTTATTGTAGATGATCATTTTAGCTGTTTTTACATATAATTTTTTCTTTATTTTTTTAATAAAATATATTTTAAATTTTTTTTTCTTGAATCAGCAAAATCAGCCAATACAGCCAATTCAACCAGAACTTCACAGAATAAGCCAAATCAGCCGATTTTCATGCTACCAAACGGGCTCTTAACTATTTCTCCCTAAGTTTTAATTCCCTTACGCAGACCCTTATGTGCTCATCTCCTCTTTTGACAGCCATCATGCTACATGAACTTTAACCTTACAAGTTTAATGTTTTGTTTTTCATCTTAATAATTGTTAATATCCGGAGTTTTATCATTGTTGGGTTAATTGGCCGATATAGGAACGACCCAATAACCCTTTGCAAGATAACCATCGAGGCCCAATCGGGGTATGACCCAACAAGGAAACCGGGAAGACGTTCGGCCACCTAAGGAAGACGCACGGTGTCCCCATCCTTGGCCAAATGGAGCTAGACAAAGATTCAGGCCCCCCGGGAGAACAATCTTCGTAGGCCGAGCGGGTCCCATCCTCGTGACCATTCGGTTCCAGAGCCCAAGATCTAGCAGACGCTCGTCCGGACGCATTGGGGGAAAACCAAGATATTGGCGAGAAACACATTTAATGCAATAGATTTGGTGTGGTTGGGAAGCTAACCACTCACAATCCTCCACATCATCGACATCACCTACCCCTTGGTAGTATAAATAGTACGTAGTATCATTTATTTCATTATAAAGAGTTGGTAACTTATACTCCATAACAATAGCAATTACGGAAATTGTCCTAAATAGGACTAAAAAGTTCCTAAAATGCACAAATAGGACTACTATTTTTAAAATTCCCTAAATAGGACTAAACATTGATTTTCTACCCTAAATACCCCTAAGAGTATTAATTCATAATGAAATGCTTTAATTCATAATAAAATCACAAAAAACGTAAAAAAATATTTAAAAAAACGTAAAAAAATTATAATTTTTTTTATAAAACATTTATAAAATAAAAAATTTAATTTTTTATTTTTTTAATTTTTTTTTAAAAAAATAATAAAAAATAGTAAAAACCCATAAAAAATGAAAAAAATTATGGATACCTTTCTCACCGCCTCCCGCCGCCTCCCAGCACCACCACCTCCGATTGGTGAAATTTCTTCCACTTTTGGTAAAAAAATGCCATATTTTTCTGAAAATGCCAAAAGGATGGCATAATTACTCTTCAATATGCCAACATTTTCATTGAATATGCCATCATTATGGCATTATTTAAAATGTTGGCATATTTTTCTCCGGTGATGGGAGATGGTAGTGCTGGGGGTGGCAGAGGTGGTAATGTTTTTTTTTTAATTTTATGATTTTTTTATTTAATTTTTATTTTTTAAAAAAATATTTTTTTTTTATTTTTTTTTAAAATATTTTTATTAATTTTCCATTATTGTTTTACGATTTTTAGTATTTTTTTCGATTTTTATTAATGTTTTTATGATTTTATTATTAATTAAAACATTTCACAAGTTACAAGGGTATATTTGTCAAAACACACATAAATAGTCCTATTAAGGGAATTTAAAAAATGTAGTCCTATTTGTGCAATTTTGCCACTTTTTAGTCCTATTTAGGGAATTGACTCTAGCAATTATCCCCCCTCTTCCTAGCTCGAACTAAAGATCGGCGTAGCGGGCCTACAGTGAAGTGTGTTGTGATAGACTCTTATTATTATTGAATAAGACATGGCAGACTTACTAGATATCTCTTCTTGCTTGTCATTTATTGTTTGTGCTTACTCATCACCTATAACTCACTAAATACTCCACTCGAAACCCGAAGGAAGGTGTTGGGCCTTTGGAGTTGAAGGAATAAACCTCCTCATAAAAATTTAACCAAGGAGTAACAACAATAACTTAAAATCTCAATATACCAAATAGTTGGTGACATAATGAATTGGACAGAAATTAGCACTGATGTTTGCAAATCTGTGTCAAAAGATCTGAGTGAGTTCCATTGTTTTTTAATAGTTTTTGTGCATATTGTTAGTTTAATTTCTTGTTAGTAACTTTTCGTAATGTGCTCATTTTTATTGAGAAAAAGGGTGTACTTCATAATTTACCTAAGAGGTAGGAACTCCTAGGTCACTTGATTCATGTATGTCAATGCAGCGAGCTGGCGTTCTTCCGGGGCAAGTGAAAATCAGATTTACTGGTCGTATATATCAAAGGCTCAAAGCTATTAGTTTGTACCTATTTTTACGCTTTGATTTCACAACTGCTATTAGCCTGTTAGATTATACACTTAAATTAAATAGTAGATATTGATTCATTAAAGATTGCTATTTTTTTAAAGGATTAATAAAGATTGCTAATTAACTTGTTTTGCTTTTAATAGATTGCAATTATTATTATTATTATTATTATTATTATTATTATTATTATTATTATTATTATTATTATTATTGTTATTATTATTATTATTATTATTATTATTATTATTATTATTATTATTATTATTATTATTATTATTATTATTATTATTATTATTATTATTATTATTATTATTATTATTATTATTATTATTATTATTATTATTATTATTATTATTATTATTATTATTATTATTATTATTATTATTATTATTATTATTATTATTATTATTATTATTATTATTATTTCAGGATTGAATGTCAAGAAAACGCAGAGTCGTATTCATGAAAGCATTTAAATGAAATTTATAATGTGTTAATATGTTATGTATATATACTTTGTCAACTTTCTTTATTAAGTAAAGAATTTGTAGTTTCACTTAATTCCTTTTCCTTTATACAAATCCCAACCACACAATTACTCTTTTAATTATCTATATGGGTCAAACTTGACAAAGTTTTATGTGACGGATGAAGTATTTTCTTCGTCTGACAATTCCTTAATGTAAGTTGGTTACTAATTTAAAGCTAAATACATTCGTAGTTTCTTAGTTAAAAGTTAACTAAGACGGGTGAGGCATGGGCCTCAGGGCCCCAAAAACGTTACTACCTCCATCCCCCTAAGTTTGGGACGAGAGAAGGTGGCACGGTTATTAATAAACGTGAGTTTATGTGGTTCATATTGAATTGATAAAGTAAGAATAAAGTAGGAATGATTTAGAACCACACAAACTTTACCAAATAAGGTATGAGACAATCTTACTGGGACGGACCGAAATGGTAAAATGGGACAATCATAGCGGGACGGAGGTAGTACAATTTTAGGGCCCCAAAATTTAAGATGTTTTTATAGTATACATATGTAGAGAACTTATCTGGTCAGGCGCGCCTGACCATAAATTTTTGAAACGTACTGCACATTCTGCACATTCTGATCATAAAGTTGTGGTGTGAATTGTGATTTTTTGTGTTAGAGACTTGAGAAGTAGTTTGTGATTGAATTTAACAGTTAACTATTAATCAATATTCATA